TTTAGCTTTTTGCAAGACATTTTGTAACACAAATTACAGATTTTACTGCGTGGTAATAAATAGAAATATGACTTCTGTAAGAGTGAGAATATAATAAAACGTGGGGTCATGTTTCACACACAGGCCGTTGCTTTCAAACGCACGTGAGAAAAAGTAAGAATGAAATAATTATATTATAACAAAATCTGAGTAATTAACGACAAATAAAAAACTAAAATAGCCTTGTATTAAGAGGTCGGACTTTTTTTCTTTCACCTTTTATAATTTAATACATCTTTACGTCACTCTCCTTCAGCAATTTAATTTCCGTTCAATTAAATTGAATTATTGTAAACAATTTTAAATAAATGTGGCAGTTGAATGTACAACCGCTGGCTGGAATATATATCAATGAAATTAATATATGTATAAAACATTTTCTTTCTTGGTGTTGAACTGCGTCTTTATCGCATATAATTCTGTGGAAATATTTCATGGAAACGCAATTATTGAGTAACCAACGACGTCTTTGCAAAAATCGATAATAAATGTATGTATTTACAATAAATGTATGTATTTACAATAAATGTATGTTCAGTGTGGAGCAGGAGTCGTCTTCACACGTGTCAGTCTGTGACTGTTTTTCACCGCCGTCCTTTGTGGACGCCTTTCACAGAAGAGGAGACACGTCTGAAAATGAAACAGAAAAAGAAACTCTGTTATAAACACGTTCTAAAACAGAACTGTTTAGTTTTAAATAACTATTGAGTTACGCTTTGCTGATGAGTTGCGCACAAAATAAGACGCATGTACTGAACCAAAAATAACTCTGAAATTGAAATTGAACTGAAAAACACGCTTTGAATAACCATGATTTTCACTTTTGCTTTCAGAATAGATTTTTTTTTCTTTCTGGATTTACAACCCGCACAGAAATATTTTTACAACAACACATTTTTTTCTAAACATAAATAACCTACTATGTGCTCACGTTTTATACAGCGTTACAAAACCAGTTAAGTCTATTTCAGTTTGTATGGTGGTTGAGATTATGTTAAGAACTGAAGGAAAAAATGCATTTTCCACTTTTTTTTAACTTTTTTTTTTACCTCGTCTTGCATCTTTGACACACCTTGCCCCATACGGTCCTCATCGTGGCCTTCCTCAGCCTAGGACTCCCCCACAGATACACCGCAGGGGTGGACACGGCGTTCAAACGGGCCATGATGGCGAAGACATTGGTTGCCTCATTCCTGAACGTCACTCCTTTCCCCAACATCAGTCTGAGTGTAATGTTAACAAAAGATGGAGACCACAGGACCAAGAAGGAGCTGACCACAAAAATCATAATTATCAGTGACTCCTTTTTGTTCTCCCTGTCTTCTCCGGGAGGCTCTCTGGTCAGCTGGTACCTGGCGACAACATAGAGTTTGATGGTCATGATGATTTTGGTGAGCACCACGGCCTGCAGGCTGATGATGGTGAACACATACATCCGTATGGCATTGGACAGAGGCAGGAACACTACGATCAGTAAATGACCGTAGATATGGAACCAGCAGTACACGTTTGCAGATATGATCACACGCCGCGTTACGTAGCGCGTGTACACGAAAGGGTGGCAAACGGCGAAGTACCTGTCGAACTGCGCAAACAGGAAGGTGATGAGGTTAACGCCAAGCAGGGAGGGAAGGATGTTGTAGGAGCCGTTCCTGGGGTAAGGATAGCCCTCCTGAACGTCGAACAGGCCCAGGTAGTACACCGACAGCCCCACCAGCGTGTCACTGATGCTGGTGTTCAGCATGAACACGAACCGGTTCTGGAGGCGCAGGGCTCTGGTGGACAGAATAGTGACGACTATCGGTCCCGCCGTCAGGACAGCGGTGGTGGCGAAGACGAGCTGGAAGATGAAGATGAAATAGTCCTCAGGACTGTCGAAGTCCACGGCGAGAGGAACTGTTCCCGCCACGGGGTTTGTGGCGTTGAACATCGTTAACCCGACTCCAAAGAATATATATATACACACACATATATATATAGACATATATATATATATATATATTTATATTGTGTTATGACAGTGACGTCACCATGATCTGATTCTCCTGCGGTATGTACGGAGTGACGTGGGTAATTTAGGATGATTTTTTAAACACAAACTATTCTTTTACCCCCATAGATTTAAATTATACTATAAAGTAATAATGAAGTCGTCCTTCCCTGCTATAAGACGACGAGTCAGTCCACCTGTTACAGAGTCTGTGCTGTGGAGCCGTGGAACTGTCTCACAGTAAATCCACTCTCTTGTATTTATCTTTGTAGCGCGTGTTGACGTTCATTGTCTCTTCCAATGAGAAATAACCGTATCTTGATTTCTCTGGCCGCACTTCAATCAAGTCGGCTGAAGAACGCCCCCCACTCCCCCTCCTCTTCCCCCTTGTTCCACATTGATTATATATACAGTATATTATATATCTATATTTATACGAATAAGCCGTTAGAAAAACGTCATATTTTCTATCTATAACAATCTTTGGTAATGTTTTACAGTAGAAAAAAAGAGGTGGTCTGGTCGCAGAAAAATAATCTGATTATTAATATTGTCAGTTAAAACATAAAACATATAGAAATATCAATCTCTTTAGCCCCAACATGTCGTTTTACAAACGTACGAGCTGCATTTTTATCTGTTAATAACAAGGATAAGGATATTTATATCTTTTTTCTTAAAATTCACAACACAAAGCAAAGACTACACACCAACACTAAACAATAAAATGATGATTTTAAAAAAATTTTAAAATTCGAATTACAAGCACATTTCAAGTGCAAGCAACGCAGATAGCTGTTACAAAAATATAAAATAAGTTAATTTCTCCTTAACAAATAACCAACATAAACTGGGCGTCGTTACATGAGTTTATAATAATAATAATAATAATAATAATAATAATAATAAAAATAATAATAATAATAATAATAATAATAATAATAAATACGCTTTCATTGTCATCGATGGGACTTGGAAAACGCATCAATGTCACATAATAAGTGATGACGTGTCATATCATTTATCAACAGAAATTCATTGAAATACAACAAATAAATAAATAATTAAATAAATAAAACGCGCCAATCCACAGTTGTCAGATACAGTGACCTAGAACAGACACGTCTAACTTTTTTTTTTATTGTGGCTGGGGTTTTTTTTGGTGTTTTTTTTTTTATGATGATGATGATGGTGTGTGTGTGTGTGTGTGTGTGTGTGTGTGTAGTACACCCCCTGTTGTTCATGTTGGTGTGGCTGTTTCACCCTTTACTGGAAAATCCGACTCTGAAAGGAGACGTAGGATGAGGGCACACAGACAGACAGACAGACAGACAGACAGACAGACAGGGGTAATTAATCACTGTAAGATGTTCATCATAATGACAATCAACCTACTTTTTTTTCATAACCACCATCTGAATTCGTGCTCCACATAATCAGGTAATCATCCATCTAACAATTACAGTAGATGTTGGACATACTGTTCTGTCACAATTACAGTTTGAAATAGCGTTCTAAGACAAATCATGCTTAAAAGTATGGTAAATATGTGCCTCAGATCTGCAAAGAAAACAGAAAATATTCACATTTACAAACAGACAGACATACATCAGACTGAGTCAGTCTATATTAAAATCACTTTTTGGTCTTTGGTTGTGTTTCTAGAAATTCTAGTGTTAATGAACCTTGAAACCTTTTCAGACATCTTTAGAGCCTGTTTGAACAGTTTGAACAGGGACTGACCTTGCCTTCCTGGGGCAGATCCTCCTCCGCACTGCCCCCCTCAGTGAAGGACTGCCCCAGATGTACAGAGCTGGGGTGACCAGCGCATTTAACCGTGCCATGATGGCGAACACGTTAGTGGCCTCATTCCTGAACCTCAGGCCGTTACTGGTCATCTGTCTGACGATGATATTGACAAAAGACGGACACCACAGAGCAAGAAAACAGATGACCACGAACACAATGATGCGCAGCGACTCTTTCTTGCTATCTCTGTCCGCACTGGGCGCCTGTCTGGTCAGGTGATTCCTGGCGATGATGTACAGTTTAATGGTCATCATCAGTTTGACTACAACTATGACCTGCAGCGTCATCACCCCGAACGCGTTAATCTGGGCCGCTCTAGAAATCGGCACCAAGTTCTGCACCGTGAGGATGGTGTAAGTGTACACCCAACAGAACACGCAAATCCCGATCACCACGCACCGCGCGACGTAGCGGTTGTAAAAGAACGGGTGACACACGGCGAAGTAGCGGTCAAACTGGGCGAAGAGGAACGTCAGTATGTTCACCCCCAGGAACGAGGGTAATATGTAAAACGTGCCGTTCCTGGAGGGGTAGCCCTCCTGGACGTCGAAGAGACCGAGGTAGTAGACCGAGAAGCCGGTCAGGGTGTCGCTGATGCTGGTGTTCAGCATGAATATGAAACGGTTCTGGCCTCGCAGTGACCGGGTAGAGGCGATGCCGATCACCACGGAGCCGGCGACCAGCACCGCGCTGGTGGCGAACAGGATGTGGAAGATGAAGATGAGGAAGTCCTCTGGAGTACTGAAGTCCACCGATAGGGGGATGGTGGCGTTCAGGAGCATCCTTGCGCTCCAGCGTCAAAAGGGGCGAGCATGCATCATATTTATACACCACATCAACGTTTACGCACACACTCACCTCCACCCACGAGACAAGACAACCTTCTCCATTAACACGTGGGATGTTGAGCTGAGGCCCGTGTCCACTGAACACTCACTCACAGGGGTTCACTTGGATGATTAGAGTACGTATGACCTAAGCAGATTTTGTAGCTCCTACTTACCCTTTGCATCAATGGGTTATTAACCTGGGCCATTAATGGGCCTCAGAAGGAAACCAAGAAGGTGGCCCTGTCATTTAGACCATCCTTTTCCAAAGACTGGGTTGCGACCCTCAGGTGGGTCGCAAGAGATTCTTTTTTTTTTGGGGGGGGGGGGGGTTGTCTCGCATCATGTTTCCCAGGAGTTTACCAATTATGTCTATTGACTTGGGTCGCAAAGGTTTGTGACTTTTAAAATATGGGTCCTCATAAAAAAATGTCCAGGTCTATAACAGTGTTTCCCAAACTTTTGAGACCATGTAGTCCTGCAGGACAGCCCTGTGTGTGGCCTTTAGAGAATTAATTAGATTTAATTACTTAGTAAAATTCACATCTTCACAAAAAGAAAGAGTATTTCTTCTCGAAAAACGGCAACTTTGATTTTTGCTGCAGGCTGAGGGAGCGTACATTTTTCCTCCTTTCAGTCTTGGAAGGACTTATAGGAACGGTTTGTCAAATGAATGAAGTGAACACCTGGCCCTGATGAGTCCTGTGTGGCAGAGTTGTGTATATATATATATATAGGCCATAGATTACCATAATTATATTTCTACAACACAATACTGTAATGTCCTTAGACAGCAGCTTCCTGGGATGTGTTGCATTTATACATCATGTACAAATACAGTATACAATAAATCACATATTATTGTTCTTTATTGCGCGTAAAAACTGTCAAATTTGTATGGTATATATGTAAAAAAAAAAAAAAAAACTTTGATGAAGAAAATGTGAAAACATTTCTGTCCCCAATGGGGTCTGGGGAGCATGACAGAAATTAAATTGAGAACCACTGACTTAATGTAATGTAAATGGTAATGACACTCTTCAGTCACCAGAGGGAGCAGTAAACCACAACGTACTGCAGAGTTGCAGTATGGCCCGCGAGATCGTAGCTATTTACTGTGAGGATTTGTAGTATTACAGGTGAATGCACTTTGTTATATACATACTTTTTTAGTTTTTCTGGTATTGACCTGTGAAAAGAAAGGGAGGGAGAGAGAGAGAGAGAGAGAGAGATTGTTTCCATATGAAATAATTCACTACTCAATATTTGAATAATTATTGAGTTTTGTTTTTCATTTTGGCCCAGTGTGAATTTCAGTTTGACACCTGGTGTACATGACGTGGTCCTCATTAAGAGGTTTGTTGTCTTGCTCTCAGGAGGGAAAAGTCATGGACCTGTTGTTGAAACTCCCACATAAATTAACACGGAGCTGACGACCCTCTGCTCCACAGACACTCGTGGTGGCGTCAGTGCTGTGCGTCTGTGCTGAGCCATGAAGACAGTCAAACATGAGTAACCGCAGCCACGGTCTCTCTTTTGTCCTACCCCTCACAAGTTTCGGGAACGTGTTGATGCTCCTCTTCAGCGTCTTCCTGGCTTCATCCATCATCCTTCTCAACATATCTGTGTCTCTTTCCATATTGATCAACAGGGCGTTGCGCACTGAGAACCGCTTCATGTACATGCTGAGCACCTGCCTTAGTGACATCTGCACAGGTGTCTCCTATTACTATGTGGGTGTCCTAGATGTGAGGGACACCTTCGACTCCCCCACCAGAACCTTTTTTGTCGTGCCCACATTTTTGGGTCTGTCCTACATGGCCATTCTGGCCGCTCAGGCCGACAGGTACCACGCAGTGTCCTCACCTTTCAAATACTCCCAGCGCATGACCTTAAGCAGAACCGTGATGATCATTGCTTCCTACTGGGTCTACGCTTTTGCCATTGTGGCTCTGCACAACCTGGTCACAGTCGGCGTTGCCACACAGATCACTGGCATTAGTACGCTGGCGGCCAACATAGTCACCGTGATCATCATGATCGGTCTAAACATCAAGTTGTTCATGATCGCCAGGTACCAACTGGGGAGAGAGCCGCCGTCCGCAGAGAGGGAATCCAAGCGGGCATCCATCTATCTGATACTGGTGGTGGCCGCCAGTTTCTTGGGCACCTGGCTGCCAATATTCTGTCACATTACCGCCTGTAACTTTCTCGCTTCCGTGTGTTACTCTTTTAAGAACGAGGGCACCGACCCTCTGCGGATTCTGCCGCGCGTAAACGCAGCCCTCACCCCTGTCCTGTACATCTACGGCTGTTCTCCGCTGAGAGCCACGCTGCTCAAGAGTGTGTGGAGACCCTGCTGGAGGAGGAAGACGAGGTGAGGAGATGAAGGATGTTAAATCACACCTGATGTAGAAATCATAGTATTTGCTGAAAAAAACCCATTGATTCCTGCACAAGAAGACAATAAGACTACCAGTCTTCTTGTAAAAATATATAAAGTATGAATCCTTCATATTTTTTTATATAATGTATAAAAAATAATATACCCATCTCCCCCCTTTACAGGCGTGTAAATTGGAGGACTCGGCCCGGTTAGACGCATCTATCCATGGATTACTTTGAAGATGGACAATGGTCTAGGTGAAAAAAATATTTAAAAAGTTATTTACATGGAGACGTATATAACAATAACAATGTTCTTTCATTTCTGAAATAAAAAGCTGGGTTTTTTTTAAAGGTGAATATATGAAATAACAAACGTGGGAAAGTAGGTCACAAACTCAAAAGCAGGTGCGTTCTGAACTGTACCCGATACTCATGGCCGTTGCGGGTTTTACCCAAGTCAACCCTATACATGCTGGGGGCATTTTGTACACGCTGACGTATGTATGAACTACTGTTGGCAGTGAGGACTCAAATGCAGCTTTCTCACCCTTTGTTATTGTTGTTGGTTCTTTTGTAAAATTGTATATTTTGCCTGAAAAAATGCTCATGAACTAGACACATACAATCAACATCCATACATGGAAAAAACTGTTACATGTGTTATAGTTGGTAGATTGTCTAAAGTATTTTCTTTTAAAATGTCTTTAAATTTCAACATTTTTATCAGATTGTTTTTGTTAGAATTGTCATCACTCAGTAGTTGGTAGGATTTCCCCCATTACATATATATATATGTATATATATATATATATATATATATATATATATATATATATATATATATATATTGGGGGGAAATCATTATATGGGGGGAAATGTATATATATATATATATATATACACACACTTATATATATATATAAATATATATAGTATTTTATTTAGTGTAATCTAGTGGCGCTATAGCTCAGCCAGTGTAAACACAGATTACGCAACGTCAGTGCGCACAGCGGATGCAGTTTCTGCGGCAACCGCACAGTGTCAGAAGAGCACTTTGGCACCGCGCCATGAAAGCCCCATCAATGAAATTCAAACGTAAAGAAAGCTGCCCTCTAGTACAAGAGTCAAAGATTTGTAAATGTTCAGTCATTAAAAAAAGTTTTCTCCGAGGCGCCATTATGAAAGAATTGTAACTAAAACCTATCCATTAAACGATTCTCGGATCAGATCCTGAGTGGAGGTGTGTAACGCTGTTTCCTATTGGCTGGGAGCTGAGGTCTAGTTCCTCTGCGCTGAGAGGAGGGGCATGCAGATCTCCACGCTTCCGCACATCTGGTGCCCGATTTCTCTCCCTTCTTTCTCACCCTATGTCTATCACAAAGCCATCTGGCAACATAAATAAAGTTTCTTACAAAGCATATTTCCCTCTGTGTCTTGTCTTTTGAAACGTGGTCGGGTCTTTCCAAAGACAAATATTATTAAAATAGTTTTAAATTTAATTTATTACAACTTATTTGTCGAATCGTTACTTCTTACATGTGAATATGTTCTGTGTTTTCATGATTTTGTGCTTTTTTTCGACATATACTCAAAGTCATAGTGTATTAAAATGGCCTCAAATTAATCGGTTTGTCACAAAAGGATTTCTTGACTAAACACTATCAAATGTCATAAAGAAATAATGATAAAAAACGCGGCATCATCAAGTGATTTATGGTCAACCGCATAATAATATCAACAACAATGATAATAAACCGACTCATTCAAATGAGCTCTTTTAGCCAATAAGCTGTGGTTCAATGTATAAATCTCGATTAATTTTTTTGAGAAACAGTCGTATAAAACGATAGACATTTTTAAGTGGATATATTCAAGTACAAATTCAAACATTTTGTCCCAAATCTATTAAAAATCATTTAAATGTTTTGATAACGACGTCGGTTGTTGTAACTCTCACAAGAAACTAGTGACGAAACTGCGAGTTTCTCCAACGCCCTCTGTCCTTATTAATACTATCGGTTAATACAGTGAACATTATATAAAAAAATAAAAAATAAAATAATTAATAGGATTGTGCTTCTCGATTCTCGACTTGTGTCATAAATTGGTGCTACCGGAAGAAAACGGCCACATCGTAGTTATCCTACACGTTAATTCTTTGTTTGTTGGTTGGTTTTTCTCGTTTTAGTCTCTGCCATCTTGCAGGTAAAGTTGCCAGGGGGCTGAGAGAGTGGCCAAACCCTCCCACCGTGGGGTGTTTTCTCTGCTGCACTCTGGGCTGGTTCCTATTCAAATGTGGGTCAGGGGTGAGGAAGCCTAACGTCATAAGCTTGCAACATGGCGTCCCGAAGGCTGTGAGATGAGCAGGAGGATGGTAAAGAACGCTTGAGACAGACTCTACCGATGTAAGAAGGTAAATTTAACTGAAATATTCCCTTTTTCTACTCGGGCCGAACATGTACCGCGGTGCTGCTTCGGTGCCAGTGTGGGTCGTGTCGGTTTTTTTCCTCTCCATTAGCTGCTGCTGCTGCAGGGCTCGCTGTGGTTTTCGCTGGTGTTTTTTTTCTTCCACAGCGTGCCAACAAAAAGGGGCTTCGCTGCTGCCTGCTCGGGCTCGATACCAGCCGGCTTGCCAAGCACAGAACCCCCGGCTGCATTTCTGCCACTTTCCCGCTGAGCCTTTTCAACAAGGGCACCGAACGTGTTGTCGGCGTTGCGCTGTTTATTTTTGGCGTCGTCCGTTTGTAAGAGATGTGTCTCGTCTCTCAGCGTTCGATTGGTGTGTTTGTGTGTGCCTTTAATTACCAGTGAACAAATAAAGATATAGAAATCTACCCACGACCACTCTGTCGCTGCGTTTTAGTCAAATCTATTCCTTGAAATTGTTTTCGTTCATTCGTGTAAAACGCGTCGGTTGAATTTGTTGGTCAAATTGCACGATAATGAGGAGACTCGTGGATCGTTACCTGTCATGTAACCATTCTATTTAGTCATTTTTGTTCTTTCTCACGGAGCAATTTAAATGTGAATGTTTCGGATTTTCTACACTGTACGCAGCGTTTTTTTCCATACGGGTGATCAAAGGGATGTTGCCACAGTTGAGCACTCTTCATTGTTTATGTGCGGGATTAGACTCAAAGGCAGTGCTAATTAAATCATTAAAGTGGATTGACTGATACGGAATAGATTATGAAGCTTGTTTCACATATTGCGTTGACGTAGTATAACTGTACAAGACCCCGAAAGGCCTAAAGGTGGTCTTCTGCACTCCATCGACCATCTTTGTGATCAGCTCCACTAAAATACGGGTGTACTATTACATTATGACCCATCAGTCTTGTGCATTTCGCATTCAACGTTGCATAATATGGATTTCATCGCCTTCTCTTTTCAGTTGTCAAAAGTACCAAGGTTTTTTGTTTTTTGTTTTTTTTTTTGATAATAAGGCAGAGGAATCCCAGTAATGTGGTTTTCTTTAACCGCAATTTTAGTGGCATGAAACGTATCCAGTTCTGATACAGGTTCACAAGGCATAGAAAAAAACAATAGATGGCAAAAACATTCTTCGTTATAAGACTCTTTTTTTTTTTTTTTTTTTGAAGGTACTAAAGTTCCTGATTAACTGGTTTAGCCGTCAATATGAGTTAGCTACTCATTGGCACTGTAAACTTTTGTTTAGTTTTAGATTTCCCACCTGCTATCAAGGTTACCTGTACAATGACATTTAAACAATGAATCAAATTTGCAGTTTATTGTGGCCCCCCGTACACACCCACCCACACAAATACATATACATACTTTAGACCTATTAATATAAGTGCTTTCCATTACTGTTACTTCTGAGAAAAGCCAGGTCTTTCTGTTTACATTTATCACTGCAGCCATTATCCTGACATTATCTTGATCTTGTAAATGTGTGTATTTTTATTGCTTCTTATGGTGCGCAGCATCAAAGTGTGTAGAGGCTTTAATATGATGATTATAGTATCATGTTTTGTTTGGTTACACCCTCTAAGATTTGTAGCTACTTGTTTCTGAGCCTATGTATCCCCCTATTACTGTTCTACACTAGTTTCATTAGTTGGCAGAGTGTATGGAAATGCAGTTTTTTACCTTCTCAATACTGAACATTTGAGGATGGGTTAAAAACTGGAAGACTGCCCTTGGCCTCTCCGCCTCAAGCCCTGGTGACAATGCTGCATCTGTAACTTTAATGGGCTCTGAAGACTGGGATTATACCACCGGCATGGTTCATGTGATCCCATTACTTTTATAAGAGACTATAAAAGACTTAAACAGGTACACAGAGATTATGAATGCGTGTGTGTTTACAGTTTTTAGCTTCTCAGCAGTGTCTCCTTCTGAGTAAACTGACACTAATACAATGCTACTGACAAAAGACACTGACAAACAAATATACAGTTTCATGGCGTAACAATGTCAAGCAAGTTAATGTGATCAAGTCGACCGATCAGTGTGACTGCTTTCATTGATTACCAGGGACTGAGCCCTGTAGGGTAATTTGAGGCCCATGTGTGTGCCTCATGATCCTCATAATCAGTCACTTGGTCTTGTCTCACCCTGCGTGGATCTTCCCCCCTTTCTCAATACACCCATACTGTAGTACCCTGTGCACATAGTGATTTTGGCTCACACTGGTGTGTACGTGCATGCGGGCAGCACAGTGAAGTGAGAGGGTCGTTGGCCAGTGCGCTCTGCTGACATACTGGACCACGACTTACGATATAGATTGTGCTCTCGTATCTCTACAGAACTGTCTGTTTTGTGCTGCCTGTTCCAGGGCAGATTGGTTTGTTCTGTGGTGAAGTGAAAACTCCTCAGGGCAGGGCTGTTGTTGTTCTTTAAGAAGAAGACAGTCTGTGGAATGTTGTGCTGATAGCCAGAAGGTTATGGTGTGTGTGTGTGTGTGTAGGCAGAAAGAGGAAGAGGAGGGGGTGGCAGCGCTGTAAAACCTCAGATCATACCGGATCTCTCCCTACCCAACATGCCCTCTGTCCTTAACCTAAGCACCAGGCATCAGGTCATGGATCTGCTGCTTTTGTTGCTGTTGTTTTTTTATCTCATCAACAGAAGACAGGAGACAGTTCATCACACTTATCAAAGGTTGACGAGTTAATGAAGTGTGTGATTACTTCACTTTTTAGACATGAGTGCAGTATGTGTGAATGGCAGTTCCTGGATAGTATTTGTCAATTTTCATCCGCCATTATTTAATTTACTTAGAGGGCAAGTTTCAGTTGAGTCACAATTGGCAGTGCAGCGTAATGACATGCAACTGAAGTCCACACTCAAAATAAAAATAGGGCAAAGTATTTACTTTCAATTAAAAGATGAAGAAATCAAGATCTCTGATAGGAGCTGTGGCTAAAAACTGTAGAACAACAGCTTAGACACTGGTTAAAGACACAGCACGGTCTGGAATTAGCTTTAAAACACACATTTTAGCCCTGCATAGGAATGAAGTGCGAGGTGGCAGACGAAAGAAAAACTCCACCTTCTGCTGAAATTGCATCACAAAGTCAGACCAAAGTCTTTGAACACCTTGAAAAATGACATGACACAGAATGGAGGCATGTGTATAATTGAGGGAGCGGAGAAACATGGAAACCAAAGAACACCATCCTTATAGTTAAACAAAAAAGAACAATTTATTTATATATATTTTTTCCCATATCAAAAGGCCATGTTTGTTTATTAAAGTAGGAATGTTAAATAAAAATTATGCATAAATGGTGTTTTGTGCAGGTAAATAATATAGACTTCATTAAGTAAAACAAATTAATTAATTAATGAAATGTATATATTTATAAATATATATATATATATAGCTAGAAAGAATGTTGTTTAGGTTCACATATACGTCTATTAAAATATTTGGCTATCCAACAAACTTTATTTTGATTCAAATATTATTATTATTATTATTATTATTATTATTATATTATTTCTGTTTTGGTACCGACTTTTAACTTGAGTTTATGCTTTTTTCTTCCAGATGAGCAAGTGCTCAAAATTCAAACTTCAATGTAAGAAATGAAGCTAAAGAAGGCTATCACTAGGTAGAACTTTAGCTTTAGACATCATGTTCTTCTTACTGCTGCTTTTCATTAAACGTAGACATGACATGACACATCGATTCCAAAGCCATATTTAAACTCTACTCACATCTATGCATATGTTTTAGCCCTATATCTCTTGATAAGCAAACAAACTCCAAGCAGTGGAGTAAATAACACACATTTTTATATAATGTAAAATAACTGAAATAAAGAATTCCACCTTAACAGTATGATCCATACTGGTCTACGTCCGGGCTTCCGTCCTCTGCCTCTCTTCTGTGTGTTGTAATCAGATATCTTGTTATTGATATTTTATTATGCCTTTTTTAATCATGGCATAAAATTGTCCCCTGCCTGTAAGTAATAATGTTGTGAATTAAACGAGACATGACGGCAAAGATTTAAGACCCAGCTCAGGCAATTACATCTTGCACTGCCAGGACGATAAATGTGATGGAGGCGGAATTTATACTAAGTTATTTTTGTACTCCTGGGAGAGTACACTTGTATACCTGTTACTCCCTATAGACCTGTCCAAGGCTTTAATGTCTAGTGTTACCTGTGGCCGACATCCACACCATAAAACACATTCATTCACGACCGGTTGTTGTGTTGTAACTTGGGGGGGGGAAAAAAGCTTAAGACGCTGCTTTTTCCCACTGGTATTATTGACGTGGTGCAAAGAAATTCTTTGGTTCCAAAAGTATTTCCAATTTGTCCTTGTGTTTGTTTTGTTTAATGCAGCTGACTTTATTTTGGCACATTGTGGGGGCATCTCTGGGGTCACAGCATCCATCGAACTCCTGGACATTGAGTGGATGGGGCTTTTTTATTAACTAACAGTTCAGCAGAGGAGAAATAAAATACATAAAAGCACGGCTATGTGTATAGAATTAAAGAATTGTTAATGAGAAGGTTATGGAAAAAATACAACGACTGGGTTTCTGCAGTATTTTAATCACTTCCTGAAATATCTGTCGCAGCCTGTTTGTGTTTATGAGTACGGTTTTATTAATAACAATATCAAGGCAGTACAAGTAAGTGACTGTAAAGTGCAGCTGTCACTGACATGTATTGCTGATTTTACTAGTTATCTTACTAAAAAAGGTGAGATAGATTAGTTTATCTAGAAATTGAAATTGATGTTAGACCTCTGTGCATATTCAGTCTGTTAGTGTTGATCATTTCATTTCATTCATTACTGCATTCTTTCAACTATTAGGCTATTGGAAGAATTTAGCTTCATGCAGCTCTGTTGGCAGTAGGACCAGGCACTGATCCAAAATTCTTTAAGTGGTCAGAGTTGGGCCTTGGCTGTAAGCAATTATTTATT